TTGTTGTTGTTTTCCATTAAACCTCCTTTTTTTTGTACTAGCACCTGGGTCGGCCATCTTGAGTCCTACCCCTAGTTCTCCCTCACCCTCCTGGTGAGGGGGACTAACCCTAACACTTTGTTTTTTATAACACTAATATGGCCAGTAAAAAAGCTGTATACACAAACAAGTATAGCTTTTATCAGAACTGTTTTACAACATATTACAGAATAAATCACAAGATAAATGTTTGATTTATCACTATTGAGAATGCCTGTATCACATTTGTCATTTCTGTTTCTGCTGTGGACCTCCAGTTACTCAGCAAAAACACCAGCACAGGCCGTGGAGTTCTGCAGAAAAAGCAGCGGTATGGCAACAACTGGGGCAGTGCATCACTATGCAAAGAGTTCCTGGTAAAGAGGTCTGCCTCAAGGCACTTGATGAATCACAACTAGCACTTGGCAGTCGCAACTGGAAGGATGTAAAGAACCACCAAAAAGGAGGCAAAATGATCCAAATTGTGTGTCATTGTCCGAATATACAGGGTTATTCAAAAAGAATAAACTGATTTCATTACGCATTGTAATGAAATCGGTTCATTCATTTTGAATAACCCTGTATATAGACCTCACTTAAATATGTTTGCATAATATTTTAACTGGATGATTGCTTGCACTGCTCTGAATGTTATTATTTTTTAACACAGACATATATTTTAAAAGATTCCAGTCCTTCAACCTTCAATTTGAACAGTCCAGCGACTCCTGGTAAGATTGCTTTTCTTAAGCAATATTTATATTTCATCAAATAGCTATACCAAAAGCTACAATCTATTGTAATTTATTATCAAATGAGAATGTTTATATTTATTTTTAATTAAAACAAACGTTCGAAATACATGTGCAACTAAAAGATAACTCTGCATGATAGGATCATAGTGTGAACAATGCCAAATCAGAAATCCTTTCTAGTCTCATTTTAACAAGATTCAATAAATCTTATTTGTTTTTTGTTTTTTTGTTGTTGTTTTTTCTGGCAGAAATTGGTTGCTGAATATATTTGCCTTAGTAGATGTAACAACTTTACCAATTGCAGGATCTGTTTTAATGTTTCAAGCCTGTCTTAATATCATGGTCACATGGTATACAAAGGACTTGATAAGATAATGTTAACATTAGCTTACTTTTTTGTAAATGTTGGTATACCAGTTTCCAGGTCACTGTGTCAAATTCCTACCGTTGTTGTTACAATTCAGAATGCTTGGTAATTGTACAGCACGTGGAGCAACTAAATCGACAGAGATCATTTGAAAGCTGTTTCACTAATCACAGGCAAATATGTGATTCTGCAGATGTTGAGTAATACTTCTAATTGGAGCTGTTTCACACAGCCTGCCATGAGCATTAAAATGTTGACACAAAGGAACTAATGCAGGGTAAATACAGTATGATGAATTGTTGTATAATCCATCTCAGCTGATTTTGTCGTAGAAAGAAATAACACATGTAACCTTGCCAGACAGTACACTTAAAAGTATCTCTTCTGTTTCTCTTAATCCATACTGCACCCTAACAGCTCTAAACCAGTGGCAGTTGAGGTGTGTTTTTCACTTGTCAGTCTCCCAGGTATCTGAAGGAACAGATTAGAACAGGTGAATGGATTTTGAATCAGTGTTGGGACTGCCTTGTCTTCATGCAGTGGTAATGTCTGACTAAACAGCTACTTACAGGCATCAGGGTTGTGTATTAAAATAAAAGATTTCAAAATTTTTAAATTTATGTTTAGGTCACAATTAAAATCCTCTACCGCATGCTATTAACATGTTACATTATATCTTATATTACAGAGGACTCAGGCCTGCCTGTGTCAGGGCAGCCCTAATGAAACTAGACAGAACCTTGATGCCATTAATTCTGCATTAAGCCATGGCATTACATCTCAGGACCCTGAGATCTTGGAGGAATTTGGCATACCACTGAATGATCCAGTACAACTGGAATAAGCTTCAGCAAAGCTGAGGGACCAGAAATAAAATGGAATGAAGATAAATGCTTCAGAATAAAAAAGTCAAAGTTGTATTTGTCATGATTCGGTCTGCTGCTTCCTGTCAGGCTTTTATTTTGACCTTACTTCCTGTTTTTGTTTCACCTCTGTTTCGGTCTTTTTTTCCTTTACTAATCAGTCACATTAGTTTCACCTGCTCCTTATAGTTTGCACCGCATTATAAGCAGCCTTCACCCACCAGTCCCTGCCAGATTGTTCTAGACGCCAGCTCTGACTTTCCAGCATTATATTCGGTTTGTGTATTTCTCGTGTTTTGACCTGGATCGTGTACTCTGACTATTTTGTTCTGCCTTGCCAGCATTATATTCGGTTTGTGTATTTCTCGTGTTTTGACCTGGATCGTGTACTCTGACTATTTTGTTCTGCCTTGCCCTCTTGTTAGGACTGCCACTGTGTATGATTATCGGACTTCCCTTTGGACAACGAACTTCGGATTCCCTTTGATATATGTGTTTGCTGGCTCTGATCTTGGACCGTTATACCGACCGTGAGTTTTGTGTTTCACCGTGTCTTGTATGGGTTTTTGTTTAGCATTAGTTCTCTTATTAAAGAGATGGTTTTGTTTTACATTTCCTCCTCTGGCCTTTTAATTGAGTTCACCAAACACTTTTTCGGCAGCATCACACGCCGATTCATGACAGTATTGTCAGGTTTTCACATTACAAAGATGTGTTTTTTTGTTGTTGTTTCTTTATTAATGCAGCGGCGATGAAAATCGGTCTGTTTCCAAAATGTCATTTTAATGTTTTTCCATAATTTTAACAGTAACTTGGGCAAAAACTATATGAATTTGTATTATGCTACAGTAAACTGAGTGATAACAATGTTTTATTTAAGCTTTAGCAACAGGGTAACATTAGAACCATGTTTGCTAAATGCATTAATTTCATTTATTGAAATTATGCATTTTAAGAAGGCTCCGGGTTCGAGCCCCAGCCAACCCGATGCCTTTTTGTGCAGAGTCTGCATGTTCTTCCTGTGTCTGCGTGGGTTCTCTCTGAGTACTCCAGCTTCCTCCCACAGTCCAAAGACATGCAATTTGTTTTATGTGTATTGTATTTAGAGATGTCCTGAACCAATCCAGAGGTGCTGCATTGGCACTAATATTGGTGTATTTTAAATAAAGCAGATCTACTGTTTCTTTACTGAATCTGACAGTGAAAGTATTAACATGAAATTATATCTTCTATTAGAGAGGATTCAAGCCTGACAAGCTATGTCAGGTCAATCCTAATGGAACTGGACAAAATTGAGCAGCATCTTGAGGTCATTATTTCTGCAATAAGCCATAGCATTACATCTCAGGAACATGAGATCTTGGAGGACTTTGGAACACCACCGGAAGAAGCTTCAGCGAAGCTGAGGGACCAGAACTACAGAAATAAAATGGTATGTAAATAAAGGTTTCATAATCAAAAAAGTCAACGCTGTATTGCCAGGTTTTCACATGCAAAGGTTTTTTTTTAAATGAATGCAGTGGTTATGGAAGTCCGTCTGTTTCCAAAATATTATTTTAATGTTTTTCCATTATTTTGACATTAACTTATAATGGGCAAAAACAATGTGAATTTGCATTAAGTTACAGTAAACTTATTTTATATCTATCAGGTTAACTACCTGAGCCTTTTGGGTGGATGAAGTCCTGGGGACTCTGTGCATAGAATAATGTGCAAAATTGGCACCAATGCCCTTTGGGCAACCTGTAGTCTGAAAGGATGAAAAGGAAGGAAGAAGTCTGAAGACCTGCTTATTTATGAAGTCATAAAAGGTGAGTGTACAAGTGACAGTGCAAAATGTTTTTGTTATTTAAGGTATTGTATAGCTTCAAATATAAATTCTTTACAAAAGCATCACAACACATCACATAACATGGGCATAACAATAACATTATTTTCTATGTGGCAGAACACATCCAGCCGTGGCCCAGCAGGTCTTTGAACACTTCGTTACAGCGACTATGCACCCTACATGGGAATTCAGGTTGGCAATTATGGATTCATTAAATCCATCAAAAGCATTTTATTTATTTCTAGTTTATTTGGTGTACTTTCTCAATCTGATGACAAACCATGAGGTGATGTGAACCGGTGTGGAAGGAGCAGTTAAAAGCTGATGTTACATTGTTACCAACTGTTTTGTCACAAACACATACTGTGTATCCATTTAAATGTAAAATAATTTTCTGTTGGGTAAAACAAAGTTGTAGAGTATGTGTTTAAAGTTGTTGACCTCGTTGAAGGGTGTTTAAAAAGGTTTTTAAACATTGATTGTTGGCACTTTAAATTGTTACAGCCTTATTTCAAACATTTTGATTTTGTATTAAAATATAACATCAGTCACTGTGAATTAAGAGTTGTGATAATATATTGGGAAACCTTAACTTTGAAAATGTTATGGAAGGACTTGAAATAAAGCTTGTGAATTTAAATACACACTATAAGAATGTTGAGCTTTCAAAGGTTTAATAATGTTCAACAATAATTGTTTTTGACCTGCATAATAAATAGTTTAATGTTTTTAAAGGACTGGAAACGTTATTGTCACAAAGAACAAATGCATTTTTAAAATGTTGTAAGAATGTTAGGCTGGTGGTGTAAAAACACTAAAATGTACTCACACCCTCAGAATTTCTGGATTTTAAAAACCAAAATTGGCAATGGGAGAAATTAAAATCATGACTATGTTTTAATTATGACATTCCAAAAAATGTACTTTTTAATATTTTTTAAGAACGTTGAACAGTAATGTTCCTGTACCCAGAAAAATCATTAAAGGAACCTTATGACAAACTTCCCACTATAAATTTATGGTAACAGCGGGTTAAAACATTGAGAATGTTTTATTTGAAATGTTCTGATAACATTTGTTCCAAGAACGCTACCTTGTAACGTTACACAGTAACGTTCTTAAACCCACAGTAAGAATGTTCTAGGAATTTTTTTAAAACTCCCACTAAGAACATCATTGGAACATTCTAAATTAACATTTTCCTAAAAAAAAAAAAAAAAAAAAACTTAATGGGAACATTCTTGTAACAAAAAATTCCTAGCTTGGATCCAGGATGATCTAAAAGCACAGGACTGATCATTTTTTTATAGAGGTTAGAGCATGTTTGTTTCCCAGGTGTCTGGACACAGCAGTAAACCTTCGTGTACTTGTGCCTGCACTTGCCGTTACACGCAGTTCATATTTGTGTCGCATAGTGGCGCCAGTGTCACAGGTTAAACACTGTCTCATTCCAAGCACATGATTTGGTTTCTTATGAGACATAACTGAAAGTCGTTTTTAATTAGTTTTCCCTGTCTAATATAGCCAACCCTCGGAGTGTTAGAGTCTATAGAGCCTTTTTTGCGTCGGTCATTCTTTTAACTATCCATGCGACAATTCAGTAAAGCTGGACCTTTGCTTTTTTCGGAAATCTGCATACTGCATTAAGTGGTCAATCCGTTTATTTTGTACAGATTAGTAGGCTATAGTAAATTTAGAGGTAGACTACTTAATTGCACATAGACCCAACAGTCACAAAAAGGAAAACCGTGCGTCTTTGAAATTCCATTAGCCTGTATTCACTTAACCCAGAGCCACGAGCAAGTTCAGAAACAGGAAGAATAACTTGGCACCGAAATGATAAGCACAGCATAACAGGTGTCCTTGGGCACACGTGTGCACGCACCACGGGAACTGCTCTTTTAAATCCACCTGTTCACGCGCCTTCCTGTGCTCTCTGCTGCTGGGAGGCTTTTCTGGGAGAAAAAAAACAGCATTTATTAACGGCTTGTGCATGAAGTGGGGAAGAGCTCCTCTCAGCAGCATCACAGCACAGCAGATACAGCAGGGCTCCTTCTGCCGCTGTGAATGGATTGCTTATAGATTTACCTCTAAGGGATGGTTCTGCGCATAACCTCCTCACATCAGTTTTTGGAGAAAGAAGCTGCATTTCTGTGACTGCATGATCACCTCAGCAGCACTGTGTACAGTGATCGCTGATCATGTCAAGTGCACTGATTTGAGACCGCTTTGACTTCAGTCACATTGCCCTTGCCAGATGGACGCCCGGCCGAGCGTCTAGAAAGGATTTCTGCAACAGTTTATGGCAAACATTGTGAAGCTCATGGTACCGGTACCGCCTCGGTCTGTCATGGCACCGTGAGAACTTTCATCGTGGCCCCTCTTTTCCCCCACTTTATATTTTAGATGTTTGTCGGTGGGATTGTCATTATCTGGGAAATTATCCACCGTTTGCTTTTTCAATTATGTTCACTTTTGCTGCCTTCTGCTACATGCTGTCTCTGGTCCTTTGTGTATCTCTGATCTTCTTTGCAATATGGCACGTAAGTACCTTAAATTTGGTATATCCTGAAAATTTTCATCTACTCAGTGAGTCTCATCATCGGCATGTGTGTGCAAATTGGGCGGGTGTGATATTTCTGCGTAATAGTATTAGTTAGCTTGTCCTGACCGTTCATTCATTTCAAATGTAGGCTACATTTTCTTTTTGCGACAATTTGTACCATCTTTTCTCGCCAGATGTTTTTCTCAACACGGCAGGTGCATGTCCGCATCCTTACCTCCTGCTCCATTCATACATGCATGCAGCATTTTTGCCATTTGGTTCCAGTTTTCTCTTATTTGGTTACTTCACACATTCGTGCTGACCCAGTTTGATATGCAGAAATGCGTGCTCTGCAGCATCCTAGTTCAATTAAATAGCCTTCCTTCTAGATCTGTTAGGGAATTTAATCAAGCCTCAGCTCAGCTATACACCCGTGCCAGTTTGACTGACTGCATTATGACATTTGAATAATGTAATTATTTTCTTCTAAGCATCATGTAAAGACAGATTTGGGTCAGGTCTTCCAGTCTATTGCCCCAGGCCTGTGTTTTGCATGGAAACTGTAACAAACCTGATGCACTTAGGATGGCTGATCCTCTGGCAATTACAGCTAATAGTCGATCTGCCTGTCTGTCAGACAGTGGACCATATGTCTGCTCATAGAGCAGAAATAAATAGACTGTACTGCGAGTGTTTATAGCCAAGATAGTTAAGTTAAAACTAAGCAGTTACACAAAACAGTCCTAATACGCAGCACCTTTATGATGCTAGTGACTACTTCACTGGTAAAGAAAAACATCTCAATCTGTCTTGATTAATAATACAGGGACAGAAACCACAAAACATCCCCCTTTTCTGTCTGTAATGTAAATTCCGCACCAGTGGAAAAATCACAATGCCATAATCCACATCCTACTAGGCTTTATTTTGTTTTCTGCTTAAGATGGCAGAAACAGTGGTGATGCCTCCTCCACTGATTCCCATTCACACTGACATACAGACATGCAGCAGTAATAAGCTGGGGCTCCATACTGCAAGGAAACATAATTAGGAAGAAGCTGTGTGGTGGGAATATGTGGAGGTATGAAAGCGTGCAGTACAGCCAAGGCTGCACATTAACACCTGCCAAATGCTGGAACATTTTGTTGGTAACTGTTTCACTTTCATCAGCCACTTTCATCAGCCTTTGGCTGGTGGCCATCTCTAAGTCTTTTTTTCCTTCATTTCATCTGGTTTCAAACAACTGCTGAAAAACACTGACTCCTGTCACAGCAGCCACCTGACCAAAAGGTTACTTGTATGCCATGAGCAACTGTGCACTGCTAAAAAGAGCAAGCATGCTGACTCAAATTGCCCAGGGTAAAATCAAACTATAAATAAAATGAGCCAGTGTAAATCAACATAAAGAGACAGAGGCTATGAAACGATCCACTAGAAAAATGCTAATAAAATGAGTAATGCGCCCAAACCCAAACATATTGCCAGTACTGTCAGCAGGTTAACACAAGCACCAGAGTCATGAAAGTCAGAAAATGACAAATGACTGCATGCAGATGAACCTAAGTCCTTAACATACAAGAGACTTAATAATCTGTTCAGCAATATATAAATATAGCATGAGCCAAAATGACATTTCATGAAGGAACCTAATACATGGCACAACAATGTAACTATGAATATACTGTGTGTGTGTGTGTGTGTGTGTACACACATCTCAGCCTGTGTTAATTGGCCACAGTCAACCAAATCATACTGTATGCTGCAGAGTAAATTAGCCCACAGGTACCATATGTGTCTTCTCTGCCTCTCTACTTGTTAGCTTGTCTTGAAGTAGAGCTCTTATTAAAAACAACTGATTCTTCTACCATTTCTCTCATTTACAGTAGGCTACACATTAAGCTATTCTGTAAAATCTATGTCACAAAAAAAAGAGGATGACTTGTTGGCTATCTTTAGTATAGCTGGTACCATTAATCACTCCTCTCTGGCCATCCCTGGACTCTCTTTGGGCTAACGTGTTAAGTACAACCAGGTGGAATAATGAGGAAGGAACAGGACTAGACTGTGGCATTGTAAAAGTCACAATGCAGTACATGATAGTCACACAGGCTGTATTACTGCATATGAGTACTGTACTTATGATATTTTAAGCATTGATACATACTAACAACGTTTTTATAGTGTGGTATTGCTACTTGTACTTGAGTGAGGGATTGTTTCTTCCACCAGTGCCGCTGTTTATAATAGTTATTATTTTGTAATTACATCCGGTGTGTGACTTGCTGGGGGCTGAGAGTCTATATATCTCTGCCTCAGCTGTGCTATTTTTGTCCCTATTGGAGGCAAAATCTTTCCCCACTCATAACAATTAATGCTGCTTTACCTATAGACCATATGAAATACATTTTTTTTAAAAGTGCTGCAATGTGAGAACAGTCTATAGTGCAACAATAAAATCCGAAATGGACTGTCAATGTCAGCACTTGATCTTGTGTGACAAGAGATACAATACATATAGATTGCCAAAGAAAAATGAAGTGATTTAGAGGATCCAAACTGGCCATCTGATACACACACATCCTATATGGTGACAGCAAACTTCTCATTATACATGACTCTCGCATAGTGTAGCCTGTTTATTTTTACATTGACAGCACATTGTGCTGTATCATTTTGTTGTCTGTGATTGCAGCTCCTGTCTGTCCACATAACGAAAGGACAAGGCATGAGAGTGAAAATTTAAAGTATGTAATATATATATAAACCCCCAATTTGTTACAAATTGCGTCCTGATTACATTCGAAATGTGCTGAAAGCTGAAATTTGTTAAAATGCAGTGCAAAGCATTATTCACACAAATCTGGACTTGTATAGTCTGTGCAAACCCCAAACTGACAGTATAGCCCACATTCCTACAACAGAGATGTTAACTTCCAACAAACTAGCACTGACTGTGTGTGTGAAGTGGGCTTGGGTGGTGTTTCCTGAAAGCCAAGATGCTGACTGGTCTCAAAATGCATCAGGAATTCCAGTTCCTCCCTTCTTCTGTAACCTGTGATAATAACGATGGCTAAAAATTTTTGCTGTGTCTAAAATTTGCTGAGTGCATTGTCTAAGAAAAGTCACGATAGCAGTAAATCAACTCAGTAAAAGTCTTTTAGCCATAAGCTAATGAGAATACCAGACAAAGACTGTAGCACAGTGTGTTGCTTTGAGAAAAGGTACAGTTTATTGCTAATGAATTTAGTATTTTAGAGTATTTCTAAGGAATTACTGTGCTACATACAGTACATTACTCTTACTTTATTCATAAAAAATGTATTAGATCCTTTTTAATATGTTGTAGTCACATATCCCTCACCTCAACTTCAATATAGTTTACTACAAGTAGGATCTGGATAGCTTTCTTTTTGAAAGATCTGACTATTAGATAAGCCATTCTACCACATACAGGATGCTGTTGGCCAGTTGCATTCAGAACCATGAGAGAGCTGACACTAAAGAACTGCATTCACTTTGTTTTACTGTAAATGCCTATATTTCTGAGTATCAAACCATATCATGTATTTCAGCATATTTCACTACAGATCCCACAGTGTGGTTATTTCAGACCCCTTTCTGTTAACCTCAAAGATAAGGAATATCGCTCCTGTGACTGCTGACAGTCATTTTCTGCTTTGCAAGTCTGATTGTTGTCACTTCAGATATTCCATCATTTCTTTGTCTTATTTTGAGACAATACAGTAAATGATAAGATGATGACAGATAGAGACCAACTTTTTAGGTGATTAAAGACTTTGGCAGCTCACTAAAGAAATATTTTTTCATTAGGAATAATATATCCACTGTAATATTCATGATAAGCATGTTGCAGTAGCCTCACTGCAGGATACAATTTAAAAAAGCGGTTCACTTTCAACAAGATGCAGGAATCAGCTGAATCAGTCTGTTCATCACATAAAATGCACCATGGTAACCCTTGGGAGTACTCATTAAGTGACTTTAAAGCCTTTTTAATTAACATAAAAGGTGAACTGTGATCTCACTTGAGTTCTATGGTTCAATGCTTTGATGGACATGCTCTGCTTGAGTGATTCTCCTCCCATGTAACCACAGCCCCTAATGCGCTCTGGGTGTCATTAAGGCTGGGAGCAAGCAAGACGCTCCTCCAATGCACATCTGATAGATGGGAAAGCCCTGTGGGGCACATATGATGTAACGGCTGTCATAGCATTGTGGCAGAGGGCAGAATGTCAACGTGATATTCCCAGTTGGGGTTTCCATTATGATGTGGCAGTTTGGATGTTTAGTGCACTGAAGATGCTGTGTACCGTGGCCTTAGGAGCTCAGTGCACTGCATCTTTACCAAACACATGCAAATATACAAAACACAAGCAAATTAAGAAAACACTTTCAGCAACTTCACAACAGATGTGCAGCATATAAAAAAGTGGCAAATATAGAAAACACAATCAAATACACAAATGTACTGCAAATGGTACAGCATAACCTCCTGGGTTGATGCAGACCGTCCTGCTTTGCTTTTCCACTGTGAGTCTCTGTTTAGAGGAGAGAAGGGCTGTGCTCCTCTCACACACACACATACACACAGCTGAGTAGAGGGGGCACAGGGCGTGAAGAGTCACTCCATAGTACAAAACTACCCAGTAACAGAGACTGTATGAGCAATTTATCAAACAGCTGTTGAACAAGCAGAACACAAACTTGCAGAAATGTGATGTTTTTCCCACTTTGCCTGCGGTCCACTTACTGAAGCTCTTGTTTTAACTCTAAACCAGCAAACCTTTACTCAATCCACTCCAAGTGCAAAATAAATCATTGACATGATTCTGGAAAAACGAGGCCTTGTTCGTCATTGGTCACATGACTATTAGGTAAATGACACAGGCTTCAAAGTCAGGTTTTATGGGTGTCCACTAGATGTCAGCAGTAATATGAGCTCCTAATGAGGCTTAATGAGTTGAATCTTAATCTTAG